AAAAAAAAAAAAAAAAATTAATTTTCACAATAAAAAAAAAAGAATGTCTGGGTGGCACCTGTGGCTCAAAGGAGTAGGGCGCAGGCCCCATATGCTGAAGGTGGTGGGTTCAAACCCATCCCCAGCCAAAAAAAAGAGAATATCCTCCCAGACTCTCCCCTCTAGGAGGGGGTTGTTAAACCCAGACACAGAGGAATGCTCCAGGGGTCTGTTCAAGTCAGGGCCATGTAGCAGACAGAGTCAGGTTGAAAAGGAGGGAAGGATGTTCTAAGCATACAGAATAGGGGCAGCAAAATCACAGGTTGTTGCCTTGAGGAGGACTGTGATCAGAGAGGAGGCACAGAACGTGGCAGGGTCTTATCCTGACCTGCCAGGGTGGAAGGTGTGAGGAAGGCTGACTGTGTCCTGCAGGCCCCAGAGAACCATCCACCTCAGGGACCGCTTGAGGTTTCCAAGCCTCTATCCAGCTGCAGCTGGGAAATAGCTTGATGGGGAGAAGCTAGGGGTGGCAGAAAACAGGACAGGTGTGGGGACAGATTTGAGGGCTGTGTTAGGCAAGGGCAAGGGGCAACCCTCAGGGGAGGAGCCGCACAGAGGGTCTTGAATGGCGCCCAGGGTCCCCCAATCAGATTCTCTGCATCACTCCACTGGGACTCCCAACAGCTCTACTGGAGTCCCACCTGCCGGCCCCTAGCTGAGGAGCGTCCCCTCGCCCCTAACCCTATCCTTGGTCTCTGAGGCTCGTGGACTTTGGATTCCCCTCCTGGCAGTTCCACTGCTGTGAAAGGAGGCGGAGCGACCCCCACAGGAAGCGGTCTCGCCCCCAGGGGAGCTTCAAGACCAACTCTAGCGAGGCCCAGCAGCCTGGGCTCCCTCTTCTCTCTCCATCCCTCCGCCTACCTGTGGGGATCCCAGCGGGTACTGCGGGGACTCGCCTGGGCGGGGCCGCCAAGCAGTTATAGTTGGGCCCGGGGAGGGGGGACCACTGCTCACCTGCCTCCAGCCTCCTGCCCTGCGGCTCCCGACACCCCAGTTCCCCTGCGCGCCCAGACCCAGCCAAGCAGGTTTGTAGCTCGCCCTGTCGGGCGGCCGTCGACAAGAGCGCCCTGGAGCGGAGACCGAAGGTGCGGGGGGCTCCTGCGAGCCGGCCACTGCTCGCGTTGCTGATGCTCCCGCTCCTGCTGCCGCCGCCCGCCGGCGCCTGGTACAAGCACGTGGCGAGTCCCCGCTATCACACCGTGGGCCGGGCAGCCGGCCTGCTCATGGGGCTGCGCCGCTCGCCCTACCTGTGGCGTCGCGCTCTGTCTCCAGCCGCCCGGCCCCTCGCCTGGAGTGCCCTCTCACCCGGGCCGGCTGCCCGCGATGCTCTCCTGCTTCCCTCGGGGCTTCAGGAGTTGTGGGACACGAGATCTAGGAGCTCCCAGGCGGGACTCCCAGTCATCCGTGCGTCTCGGAGCCCACGCGGGGAGCTGCCATCTATACTGGAGCTGCGTTTGGGTCCCACTCAGCGGAGCGGAGCACGTACGTGAGGGGAAGGAGGGAAGTTGGGACCGCAGCGGGACCGGTAGCACCACAGACCCTAGGCCCAGCTGTAGCACATGTCCGTGCATACAGAGGTACCCTCCGGCCCCTCTGTCCTTCAGTCGGTGCTGAGAAAGGCCTTCCCGAAGCAGCCTCTACTCTAGTGGCCCGGAGCAGTAGCGCAGGGGTGGGGGCACATGGCCTCCTCCCCACAGACCTGCTCTGTTCTTTCTAGAGCCTTCGGAGAGACGTCTCCCGCCCAACCATGGCCCCTGCAGCAAACTGCCTTAGCCAGACACTGCCTGGCCCTAGGATCGCCCTGAGAGCCTTCCCTACCCAAATCGATCCCGTACCTGACTCAAGAGGAGTCGCTGCAGCTTACGGGGCACAGCTCGCCGCCCTGGCCAGGATGACCCTCCGGTCAATAAAAACCGCTAATTTTTGCGCCCCGGCGTGTGACCCTTTTCCTCTGCACTGTGTACTTTGCCATCTCCCTTTAGGGTGCAAACAGCAATCCCACGCCCTGACAAATGTCAGGAGCTCACTCGCTGACCAACCCGCAGTGATCTGCATGTCCTTGGGGGTCAGAAGAGGGAAGCTAGGCAGAGACGCTACAGGCTCTTGAGTTCCCTCCACAGCTGGTGCTGCACTTTGCTGTTTGGGGTGGGTCATTAGACCCGTGCCAGCTCCCCCCGCGGCCTCCGAGACGCATGGAGGACGGGGAGTCCCACCTAGGAGCTCCTAGATCTCCTGTTCCACGGTTCCTGAAGCCCTGAGGGAAGCAGAGTCTGATAACCCCATTGACTCCTGTGGGAGGAGGAAGGGGCAAGACAGACCCTAGGCCTGACTTCCATCCACCCAGCTGTACAGAAAAGGAAAAGCTGGAGCTCTCAACCTAGCCTCCTAGGAGCACCCGGGGGTGTCCCCTCACTATGTCTTCTGGCCAGTTTGGGTGAATACACCTCTCCCCACTGTTAGTTTCTATCTCATCCCAGGCAGCCCACCCAGACTTTTCTCCTTTCCTCTATCTCCCAACATTCATTCCAAACCTGGATCTCTTTGAACTCAGCCTAGGGCTTCCATAGAGGAGGTAGTACCCTCCTAGCCCTTCCTCATGCCAAGCCCTCTGGGGGGAGGAGCTCATCTACAACCCATCTTTCTTCCTCAGTAACCCCTCCGCCTTGTACCCACTCTGCATTTCCAGACACTGGCTCCAGCAGCCAAGTTGTCCTGCTGGGCCATCTTGAATGCCAAAGTTCTTCCTTCCTGGTTCTTCCAGCCCTTCCCCCTCTGGTCTCTGTTCTATCTTCTTTATTTTTATTTATTTTCTTGAGACAGAGCCTCAAGCTGTCCCCCTGGGTAGAGTGCTGTGGAATCACAGCTCAAAGCAACCTCCAACTCCTCGGCTTAAGTGGGTCTCCTGCCTCAGCCTCCCAAGTAGCTGGGGCCATAGACACCTGCCGCAACACCTGGCTATTTTTTGGTTGCAGCTCTCGTTGTTGTTTGGCGGGCCTGGGCTGGATTTGAACCCCCAGCTCAGGTGTATATGGCTGGCGCCTTAGCGAGAGTCACTGTATTCTGACGTCATCTTCTCTGGAGCCTTCCCTAGGCCATGTTGCAAGGTCTCCTATTAAGACCACCCAGCAAGGACTAGAGGAACAGTGGTCCCAATGGTACCCTGTGGAACCAGCTCTCACATTCCTGCCCTTCTTCCCTTGCTGGTCATTCTTTTTTTTTTTTT